TAATCGACAAATTCATTAGCATTAATCGATATGACTAACGACTAACACAAATTTTTAAATTGGATTTGGAATATGAATTTATGGTTGTTGATGGATTTGAGCCACTGATCTTATTCGTTTTAATTTCCTCTATGATAACAATGATCAATAACGATTAAATTTGTATTGATTTTGTATACAATTTTAAGCAAAACAAAAATATATTAAACTGAGTAAAATTTGTATGCTAAGAATGATGAAAAAAGTGAACAAGGGAGTGAAGGACTGATGTATTGGTACTAATAATAAAAAAATTCATATCTCACCTTTATAAAAAAGAAACATTCCAAAAAAGAGGGAAGAAAGTGTTATTTATATTTGTATGAACTGCGGCCGGACTTGGTTGGGAGTGATTTGAACCATTTATTGTCACCAGTATTGAGTATTGACTTGTTGAATTGAGGAATCGTTTTCTTGTTAGATCTGATACTGGAGTCGACAGTGGCTTATATGTGCCAGCTGTGATTTCTATAAGGGGATCTGAGATAAATCAGAAAGCGAAAGGTATGCTACCTGTGGCTATATTTGGACGGTAAATACATTTCGTAGTGGGATAAGTACAAGATGGAGAAAGGGAGACTTAAAGTTTAGCATAAAGGCAATAGGTGCTCAATAATAGTAAATTTTTGTTCATCGAATCAATAATAATACGACGGTTCAATCAGAAGATTGATTATTGAAGCCCAAGCTGGTATAGAATTATATTGATATGAAATGGTTGATTCACGAAGAAATCATGATTAACCACAAAATCATATATTTTATGCAACATTAGGTATCGGTTTTACAATCATGCCAATGTGGAAAAAAAGAAGAAATGTTTAAGTGATGTTAGGGTATAAAGACGAATTATAGCACTTCAATACTAATTTGAGCTATCTTTGGTTATTCTCCTTTCTAGGGGTGGGCAACGGGACGGGACGGGATACCCGTCCCGTTTTAAACGGGTACCCAGTCCCATTTGAAGACCAAATTCTATCCCATATCCCAAACCCATATGGGAAACGGGTATCCATTACCCGTACGGGACGGATAACGGGTACCCATACTACCCATAAATACCCAAAGTTTAAACCACTAAAATTTTAACAAAAGTTTAAACTTAACTTGTATTTGCTTAACAATCACAAGACACAAAATACATCTCAATCACAAATACTTGATTTGCAAATTACACATTCATGAACAATCACAACACATAGAAATAAATCATTCCAAGCACCAAATTATCAAATAAGAAGTTTCATTCAACACAACCAATGGGAGGCATGCTGCTACTTTTCTTGTGTTGTTGAATGCAGAAAGTGTTGTCCTGCAAAGAAGAATAGTTAGGAGCAAAAAGGTTAAGGACAGGCTGGGCATATAGTTGATATTGGGATGATTCATGATTTGAATGGGTATAACGGGTACCCATATTACCCAAACGGGTATTCGCGGGTAACCCGCGGGTACCCATATTAGGAATGTACAATCCCAAGTCCCATCCGTTTATAATATTACGGGTAATATGGGTACCCGTAACCCTTAAAAAATGGGACGGGTACGGGTATACCCAAATACCCGTTTCCCGTTGCCCACCCCTACTCCTTTCACATTGGTTGATAGTTGACAATGACCACTCCCAAATATTTAGTAAAGCAATTTTATACCATCTAGGAGCGCTTAGAATTTCATAAACACAGTACTATTTGTGGTTTACACGTCCTGTTTTGGCTTTTGTTTTTTCGGTTGCTCTGTTATTGAACTTGTATGACTCAGTTGGAAGCAAGGAAAGAGAACTGATATAATAATGGTGGACAGTGGGATGGCATGTGGTAGATGCGCTAAATGAGGCACACAGGAACATGTCTTTATTAATGCGGATTTCCCGAAAGCTGAACTAGATGCGAATCTATATAATCTTCATAGAAAGAAGTAAAAGGGACTTCTTGAAAATAAGTAGTGTTAAGTGAAAGAAAAACGTGTTAAATTAGAAGTAACAGAAATATGTGCAAGAAATAAGTAGTAAAAGTGAGAAATTTTGGATTTTGGAAAAAACTAAAGTTGATGAGCTTTTTTTTATTATTATTGGAGGTTGTTGATGAGCAAGGCCGCATAAGGTTTGTCCATGTTATTTTCTTGTCATTAATGGCTCGAAGCTCTCCTGATTTATTTAAAATGCCAATGTCACAGGGTTTCGTAACACAAACAGCCACTTCTCAGCTTCCCTCACATCAAATGCAAAATTTGTTGTCTCGGCAAGTGAAGGCTCCAATGTGTATATATGGAAGCATGAGGCTAATTCGCGTTTGACGAGAGACAAAGTTGTTACAGTTACACAATCATATGAGCATTTCCGTTGCCAAGACGTATCCGCAGCCATTCCTTGGCTAGGAACTAGTTGCACTGGGGCAGTTCCTGAGACTTGTTCTGGTTCCCGATATGGTCCGGACAGCCATCTTGATGAAGTCTCCATCACCAACCATCCACTTATACCCTTTGAGGAAGTTCTTACGGGCGATCGTTCTCAATCCTTATCAGGTTGCACGAACAGGCCGCATAACCAAATCATTTCTGGCCCAGCCAGCGGTCGAATTTACGAGAGAATTTCAGCAACATGTCCCCAGGAAAAACTTAATTTAGCTGCTGGAACACGTAGCCCTCAAACTACTAGTCATGTCACAAATGAGTTGACAAACCAACATATGTCAGCTTATGGTATGGTGATTGTCACCGCTGGTCTCCGAGGTCAGATTAATGCCTACCAAAATTTTGGTTTACCAGTTCCAACCTAATATCGCTAGAGCCTAAAAAGGGACGAGGTAAAGACCGGAGATGAGGATAAGATGGCAAGCCAGTGGTATTCTTTCAACATTATAGTTGGACAAATCGGTACAGGAAAATTGATAACTTTGTATGAGCAGATTTCCAGTTTCGGAGTTTCCCGTTTCTTTTTGTACTTGATGTCAATTATCAATTCAATTAAAATTGGGATTCAACGAAAAATAAAAAAACTACGATAAAATCTAAATGGTGAATGAAATTGTAAAATTGTAGCACTTATTTAACACTTAAGAGTTAGCAGTTTTTGACACTTATAAAAGGGCTTAAAGAGTTAGGACAATACTAAAAAATACATATATCGAAATGTGTTGATACAAACCAAAAGAAGTTATCTATATTTTTAAATTGCTAAGGAATCATTTAAACTAGCAATTAAATCAATCAATCTACACATAATATAATACGCCGAAGGAAAAACGGGAGCCCCATTTCAAATTTCCTGCAACGAGAGTAAAAGTAGGAAGGACATTTTGGTCTTCACAATTATTTTTTTTTATTCATTAAAAAGATACACACTTGGATTCAAACCATGACCATTTTAACGAAAAGCAAGAATCATAACCAATCACACTAAGTACATTTGTTGTATCTTTTTAAATTAAAAACATATAATAGCAGGGAGGAAAAAATCATTCCCCCATTTCAAATTTCCTGCTCCATGAGTGTTTGTAGTAATGGTAGAATAGGGAGTGTCGATTTTTTCTCTTTCCTCTGTGGAACGGGCCAACTTACCGTATACATGCGGATTTGAACGGGTCCAGGAGTGTCAATTTTTTTTTCTTTAAGCCCTTTTATTTCTCCATGGTGATAAAATATATATGAAAAGGCAAAAAATAATACACCTTTTTATTGTTAAAAATAAAAAATTTAACAATAAACTAATGCATGGTATCTAATGGGCTAACCGCTAACCATAAAATAAAAGAGTTGAATGGGCCTGACCTACATGGGATTTGGCCATCAAGTAAAACAAATGAACATCATTGGTGTGCCATTCTAAAACAAGCTATTTTCTCTAGCATAATATATATTATGCTATTATTTTATATCTTAGTGGCTAAAATATAATGTATTTTAAAGTTATTCAATGGTTCAATCGACCAACCCAATTAGTCCAATTTTTATCATTTCAAATATATATTTTATAATTATTTGACATCATAAAGATCAAATTATAGTGTATTTTATAGGGAATCGTTTGGTATTTGTTAGTAAAAAACTAAATATAAAGATCTATTTGGTTATTTTAAACATTAAAACGATCTTAAACATTTTCAGTTCCTTTTGAATTTCTATGGTTTTATTCCCGAATAAGTGATGTGCAAATGGCGAATTGTAGTCGTCTCTTTTCTTTCACTATTTTTTATTTTCAAATAGAAAGTTTAAAAGTAAAGAATAATTAGAATTTGGCATGAGTCGGTCAAACATGCTGAATTTCAAGTTTTGGCCCGTTTGTTTTATGCATTGCAAATTTATTAGCATGTTGATGGAAATGGCTTGGAAAAAAGACATATAAGTTGTACCTTTGCAGAAATGTTCTCAAATGTTTGAATGCTTTGTGAATCAGGTTCCGTGACTTTTGTGATGGTGTATGTGCTTGACGATTGCTCGATGTTGTAACTACTTAATTTGAGAGTAAATCTTTTGATTTTCCCTATGAGTTGTGATACCAGTTCTGGTGGTTGCAGCATGTTGTCGTTGTTGGCCTGTAAAAGTTATTCCGCCGTGATGCTAAATACCTTTCTTTCTTTTTAACAAATAGTGTAGTAGTGCTATGAAACAGACCACCCATGAACGCTACGCTTATTATGGTCTGTTCTTACTTCCATTGGTGAGAAATTGTGAATTGAGAATCATATTCGCCTACCGCACTGTGTCTGGCTGGTGGCTGCTTACTGTGCTCTCTAGAGTTATGAAATAGACTACCCATGAACGTTACCCTTAAGAGTCCATAACTTTGCGAAAAACCAAGTGTAGGCAATCAAAGGTGGTGGATGTGTAATGATTTTTTATGGCTTAATTGTTTGTGAATTGGATATCTGATCTTTGTATGATTAGAGGGGATGTTTGCTTAATAGAATAATCCATTTTAATTCATGTTTATTTTTAACATGAACTTTAGTAACTCAAAACCTTCGAGACACATATCACCTACAGCATTGTATCATTTTGCCTGGGTGCTTGCTGTGTTGTCAAACTTCTTTGCTGCTGCTGCTGCATTTACACTAACAGGGGAGTTAAGAACCCATGAATGTTTCTGTTTGACACAAACAAGAGGACTTACTTCTAAATCGTGCACTAAAGATGATTGGAGGAAACATCTCTGTTGCAGTTGATATACTGGAGACCATAACAAAAGCAACGTATAACATCAAAACCAACCATCTGAACTATTAGGATTGTTGCTTTACTCTTTTTTCGTGGTTGAGTCTCCTTCAAAAAATTTAGTTTGATTTTAGAAAAAATTTCTTCTGCAGTCCTGTCTTGCCACCAACGCGTTCAGTATATGGAGATGGCAGAGGTGAAGGCTATTTTTGTGTTGTTGTTGCTAGTTTAGGGATCGGTTTGTGAAGAAGAGGGAGAAGAGAGGGGGAAAGGGAAATGCAGGAGAGGGGGATAACTCTTTTCTCCGATAAAAATGGAGTGAAGAAAGGAATTATGATCAGTAAGGATATGATTATTTTACATAACGGTCTCTATTCTGTTTGAATTGAGCTTGGGAGGCAGTGATAAGGACGAGATGCAATCAATTCATAGTGATAAGAGTGCTATGAACTGTGATCATGTCTTATTTCAAGTTAGAAGGTAGTTTCCGTATAAGGATTATTTAATTTGACAAGTTGTTTCGTCCATGATTTTTGGTAGTTTCAGTGCCATTCTAGCCATTGTTTAGTCTGTAGTTTTTTAGAATTGATGTGAGAGTAATGACTTTCACTTAGCTTCAACTATTATGTGTGTATTTATTGGCATGTGATAGAATTCTCTTTTCCTTTTCTTTGAATTCAGTTTCATACTCTAATTGTATATAGGCAAATCATGCTCGAGATGACAACTCGCTGATATGGCTGGTGCAAGGAATGAAGCCATCATTAGAATTCAGACCGACAACGGGGAGGGATGCTCATGACTAATTCAATGATGATGGTATAATAAAAACTGCAGTATGCATCAGCACCAATTTCTAGGCCTAAGTAAAGTTATTCAACCCAGAACTCTGCTTAGCGCTAAAAATTATCATCACCCAACCTTATCCTGTTTGACCCACTTTTGAAGAGTCAAGATATATTACTTATCCTCTCAGTTCGTATTTTCTTATTGACTCTTTCTGACCCTTTAGGTTGGGGTGGGTCGGGAAGAATCGGATTAATGGGTCGGTCCTAATCAAGTGGAATCTCAATCCCTTCACTCTCACTTGCTTTCTCTCCCATTCCACAAGTGGGTAACATACAGTAACCCGGCCAACGGGCCGGGTAATAAGCTAGTTAAACTTCTAAGTAATAAAAAAAGTCACTGGGTAGTCGTGACTTTTGAATGATGATACTTTATTTATAGTGTTTATCACTCTTATATTATATGTGATACATTTTCTCCTTATATTATTGTATCTTCACTAGTTTTGATGATTTTTTATATGAAATTCATAACTATTTGGATACTATGTTTATAATAGACCTTGAGTGTGTTATCGAACTATTTGATGCATTTTTTATATCGTTTTATACTTTTTAAGGTTATAAACCACTCAAGACGATTATGGATCACCAAGGAACTTATAATGGATAAGAAGGAGGACGAGAATACAAGATCATGAGCTCAAACAGAGATGAATCTGGACATTGAATGCTCACTTTATAGCCAAAACAAGCTATCTAGTAGTGCAGCAAGCCCAACTTTGACCGAGGTCCAACCGGAGCTATACAATTCAAGACGTGCCAAAATTTGGAAGAAAAAATTACTTGGCCCATAAGCAACTCATTGCAAGTGGAAAAATCTGTGATGGCCCAACATCATTACCCACTGCCGCTTGTCCTAAACCCTCAAGGAATCTTCCTGAAGAAGCTACTTCGTCCGCAAGTCGAAGGAATTCAAGTTCAAGTTGGACAAGGAAATATTTGGCCAATTTTAGGGGGGGAAGACTAGAAAACCCCCTTATGTAACTTGTATAAATAGGAGACTAGGATAGGGCTTTAGACACAATAACATCCTCACCAGCACTCTGCCCTAGGGGCACGAGTAGAAATCCATAGAGAGGAGGACAATTGCGGCTCAGATTTGGAGGAGAAGCATTCACCATCGATGCATGTATTTATGGTGATGTTGTTCCACTCTTCTTTGTATTGCTAGTCAATCTGATTAGGGATGTGATGCAAGCCAAACCTGGCTTGTGCGTATTAAAGTCACGCGAATGGAATTCAAGCGAGAAGAACTCGACTGAATTGTGCAATTTGAAGAGCTAAAACGGACCAAAGGTACAACTTCACACAAAGGAAGATGCTCGATTGGATTATGATCGAAGCACAGGCACTATTGATGGGGTTTTCAATCGATACGAAGCACAACGATGCTGGACTCAACTAACAACGAAGGGTTTGGTGACAATATCACGTTTTCTATTAATTCTCAAAAACTACTTTTACATCGAGGCAACCAAGCCTTTAAATAGCATTCAACAAACTAAAATTGAAATCTAATCTAACAAGGAATCAAATCTAGATCAAACTCTAACAAGGAAAGATAAATCCAAACTAAAAATGGAAAGAATTTTTCGATTTCTTAACACACAAGTAGTTGACTTCCCGCGCAAGTAATGAACTCTTCCTCCATAAACACTTTGAGGCTCTTGTTCGAAGATTTCCAAGAAGCTTCGAGCCGATCGGGCTTCATTCGATTCTTCATTAATTCTCCAGCTTCATCCTCCAACTCCTAGCTTCCTTCAATTTGTACCCAAATTGTCTTGAATAAGCCCTCAAAGTAGCAACTTGGGCCTTCTTGTTCATGAAATTAAAGACTTGTAATTGAGCAAACAATCCTTCAGAGTCATAAACAAACTCTTGTTCTTCAGATCCCCCCCTTTCCCTTGCATTTCCATCAACTAGAATGTAAGATATGAACCTCCAAAGTAAGTACCATGAAACGGGTTGAACACTTAGCCAAATTCGTCCCCTTGCCCTTCCAACATGAGTGGATTCTTTGACAAGAATTTCAACCCTGCATCCAAAAATATTAACAAATTCATCCAAAAAAGGATCGCAAAATGGAACCTTTGTTGCCGGCAATTCGAACTCCGACAAGTCCTTTGATTCTGACATTTTACGAATCGGGACTTCTAGAGACAATTGACCACTTGAATGGAGTTAGTCTTGAGTCCACGGTTACAGATATTTTTGCCATCCCTAGCTCCAAGCATAACAACTTCTACATTTGCATGATCATAGTGGCACCTTGTGGTGATTTGTTTTTGAATCTCGTGGTTATTAGCATTGTCTATGGATGATTTGCTTGTGATTATGTGCAACCTATTATGATGATTGAGACATGTATTAGGTTTGTGCATAGGTTCATTTCTCATGTGTTTGTGAACCGATAGATGTTTTGAATCGATTACTTGCTCTTCACAGTTGCCTATGCATCAAGTTTAGGGAATTAAAACGAATGATTGAGCACCTAGGTAGCCATGTGAGACTTGTGTCGTTCATTTCGTTCTTGTGTGGTAGATCCCCCCTTTACATTATGTGTAGCGTTCACGTTGACGGTAGCAAGGAAGATGGAGGCATAGGATTAGCCCACAACCCAAAAGTTGAACGACCCGATCATATTATTCCTTAGTCAACCCTTTTGAGTCGTGTGTCTAAGGGTCATTCTCGTGTTAGGTAGCTCATGCTACTTGAGCTTGATTGATTTAGATAGAACGACCCTTTTCTTTCTTCGTGTCTACACCGTTATCGAGTCACCCTTGTGTTTGGGAGCTCCATTCATACCGTTTGAGCTTAGATGAGGTTCCACATGAGTGATTTGGATATGGTTTTGCTAAGAATGTGAAGTGAGTGTGGAGGTAGGTCTTAAAAGTGAGCATTGTTCCTTAAGTTAAGGAAATGTGGCATGTGTATATAGTTCTCTATAGCCCCCAAAGAAAAGAGAAAAGAAAAGCAAAAAGAAAAAAAAAGAGATCAATCAGAGGGCAAAGAAGAAAAGAGAGTGGCCACCAAAATATAATGAATGTTGAACATTTCTCTTAGAAGTGTTGCTTAGCATGCAAGCTTTAGGAACATTTACATGTTGTTATCTTACCACACTCTTGCGCTTGAAATTGAATAGCAAATGTAGAAAGAAAGATAGTTGTGAATGGGTTGGTGATTGGTTGTGTTTTGGAAGTGTGGGAATTTTGATTTTTGGCCATTGTTAATGGTCATTTTTTGTTGAGGAAGGTTCTAGATCGAAGGTTCTAGATCGAAGCTAAGAACCTTGTACTTTGGTTCTATGTTGAAGTTGTGGAACCTCATGAAATACGTGCCACCACCCAAAAAACCTTTTTCCCCATGTCCTAGACCCTAGCCAGTCATTTGAACCTGTGTCTAAGACCTCCGGACAAGCTAGCAACAACAGCCATCTTGTGAGCTCTAGCATTTAGAGTCTACCATCATGGTAAAGGGATGTTAGGATTGAGCGTGAATATGCACATCTTTTGCATCAAATGGTCCTGACCCCACTGGTCGAGAGTGAGTGATTCATTCATCATGTTTTGTTCATTTCTTATACCCCAGTGAGGACTTAGGTTGCTCGATCTTTTGTTCCTATGATGTGATCTTCATGCATGCGTAAACCTGATTGGTGAGTCGTCGAGGCATGTTGTGTGTTGGTTGATGAATAATGTGAGAACTCTTCTTTTGCACAATCTTAATACACTTGAATGTTGTTTGTGGTGGTTTCCATTATTACTTTGTTTTTGTCCATAGGTCGGTGTCAAATAACCATTGTGATTCATTCGTTTTGTGCCCGATGAAATGCCTCAAAATTTTGTTGAAAAAGAGAAGTTGCAAGCTTACCTTGTTTTGTACTTGGGTTGCTTGGGGACAAGCAAACGTTCAAGTGTGGGGGAGTGATTCGGGTGCAATTGTACACATTTTACCCCTCATTTCTTGATAGTTTGGCTTCTCATTTCATAACGTCCCTCGACATATTTCACGCTAGGTTGTGCTTGTTTTGATACATTTTAGGTCCTAGCGCGTGTGGAAGGGTTGAGGACGAGTTTCAGGACGATTGGAGGTAAAAAAAAAGCGCAAAAGCCGAAGAAAAGTCCATAACAGTGAAGTGCAGGCGCCCAGATTTCAGGCTATGTTCATGGTTTCCCAATGGAGTTCACGGTCTCCTAAGGCCGTGAAATGAAGCCATAAACCGTGAACCGCGAAGCGTCCAGGGCGATTTCTGCAGTTACTGGCGCAAGGCGAGTTCACGGTCAACAAGACCGTGAACATTGAGTGCAAACCGTGAACTCATGCAAGTGAAGCAGTGCATTTCGACACAA